TATTAAACTTGGAAAGAAAATAAATAAATAAATAAATAAATAAATAAATAAATAAATAAATAAATAAATAAATAAATAAATAAATAAATAAATAAATAAATAAATAAATAAATAAATAAATAAATAAATAAATAAATAAATAAATAAATAAATAAATAAATAAATAAATAAATAAATAAATAAATAAATAAATAAATAAATAAATAAATAAATAAATAAATAAATAAATAAATAAATAAATAAATAAATAAATAAATAAATAAAAAAGAAAAAATGAAATAAATGTTGCATAAAGTTTCAAACAAAAGTGCACCTATTAAACGTTGGTGTGAAAATACATAACTAATGAAATATTACATCTGAAAAGAAAATGATTAAACATAAAAGAATAAAGCACATTCAAATATAGAGTTTTTTTGGATTAATGACATGCTTTACAGTGCACTTAATGCTTTAAAGTATATCTCTTTAGTGAAATATAAGAATACACATATTTACAATGCACTCGCGATTTGATGCACAAAAAAAAAAAGAATAATTTTAGATATGAGATATGGTGTATTATTTATTTTGGAAAGTAAAACATGCTTAAATAGTGGAATTAATTGAGCATGAAACTTCAAATAAAAGTGCATTTGATCAACACTGCAGTGCACATGAACAAAATTAATACATTGAAGAAGGATAGGAAAAAATAATCTTGAATATTAATGCACAAATTTTAAATTTAAAATTTTTAATAATTTATTTTTTTAATTTTATAAACGAACTTAATTATTATGATATAAATGACTTTCCTAATTTTAAGGATGACTCTCACAATAGCACTACACGTGCAATCTTATTCATATTGTTTGACATTAATGCCCCTTTGAATTAATGCTATGGAGACTTTTCTTTTGAACAAATGAAAATGACAGAAAATACAATTTTGATTTGCTTTTTTAGTGTCTATTGGATGAATGATATCAATGGCTAGATATCATTCTTTTTTCTCTTAAAAGACTTCTTTCTCACAGGAACCGTCCCATATATATATATATACACACACATACATATATATATATACACATATATATATGTACATATATACATATACATATATATATATATATATATATATACATATAGATAAGAGATCACATACTAACCATGCTTAAAATACTAACTTACTAACTCAATAATATGCAACACATTGAACTTCAATATGCAGTACAAATAATGTAAAGATGCACACTGTGAATTTCAATATGCAATAAAAACAATATGCAAAACTTTGAACTTTAATATGCAGTACAAATAATATGCAACACTTTGAACTTCAATATGTAGTACAAATAATGTAAAGATGCACCGTTTTTGATAGTTTGTAGGTTAGCATGGGAGGAATAGTTAGTATGTGATCTCACCCCTATATATAGGGGAGATCACATGCAAACCAAGCTTCCGGCGCAAACTAAAAACCAACAACATCCGTTGGATTTAGTAATACAGACGGTTGATGCATATGATATTTATTAATGAGATGTTGCATTGAGTCATACGTGATAAAAATGGATACCATCAATTAAGATGCTTTGGTTAATTACAAGGTCACCGAGGTAATTTTAAAAAACAAAAGCAAAGCCATTCCATTAAATGATGATGTCATGTAGCAACGTGAGTCTTTTTATTTAGGAAGGTTTGAGCATTGGTTTTACTCCAACCTCTCATTAAATTAACCGTCCATGTAATCAACCTCCCTTTCTTAATGATGAGTTCTGAAGAAAGAAGAAAGATATTGTTTCATAATTAACCTTCCATTTTTTTAATAATAATAAAAAGGTAAGTTGGAGAGGTCAAAATTGCCCAAGCTAAATTATAGAAAGGAACGTTTCATAATAAGTTATCCATTTTTTAAACTTAAAAGTAGAAAGATGGAGAGATCTTGATTGCAGAAGTCAATAGTTCAACATAATTTAATTGAAGCACGTTTTTCTTGAAGTACATAATAAGGCTATGTGGTATGCATATTAAGGTTATATAATGTGCATATTAATGTGATGTGATATACATATTAAGAATGCAATATGTACATTATACATTCATAATATCTACATAACTTATATTAGAAGCACATAATTATAAAATATGTCCACGTAACATTTTAGCAGTTCATATATTGCATTTTATCATCATGACATGTGCATATTAGAAGTTCGTACGTTGCACTTAGTAGTTCATATTGCAACTTATCGTTATGTCGTTTCCATTTTTAGTTTACATGTTGCAATTTATTATTTGACATGTGCATTTTGGAAGTTCGTATTTTACACTTTAATAGTTCATATTGCATCTCGTCGCTATGACATCTGCAATTTAGTAGTTCATATGTTGCATAATTGCATTTAATCATTATGCATGTGCATTTTATAAGTTTATACACTACATTTTAGTAAGATTGTGTGTGCACTTTAGAAGTTCATACACTGCATCTTAGTTAGATGGCATGTGCATTTTAGAAGTTCATATGATGCATCTTATCATTTGACCTCCCATATGCATTTTGTTAGTTTATACTGCATCTTATCACTATGACATCTGGACATTTTAGTTGATGACAAACTTATGAAATACAAATATGATGTATCGTCATTCACTTTGGTTGTGCCAACAGGAGTCCCTCATCAAAAATTGGGATCGTATGTATTATTACCTCGTGTTAATTATATTTATTAACTAATTCATCAACATCAACATATTCAACTAACAATGTGTGCTTTGTTGTTTGTTTTATACAAGTAATGACTGTGGAGTGTGGGTGGGTCAGTGGATGATTGAATGCGCATTCAGTGATGATTATGAAAAAGTGTTTGTAAGCACTTTAGATTATCCTTTTGATTTTTAGTGGAAAAATAAGATAATAACTAATGTATACGTGAGAATGTTTGTATGTATGTATTATTAATGTGGTTATTTCTTATATAGGTTCGACCTGATTCAAGGATGCGCATGGCTATTGAATTAATTAGCCATCCTTTCAATGAATTGAAAGCAAGTGTTGAAGAAAAGGCAATTCAACATTGGATTGAACTTAAGAGGAAGAGTGAGACTGTTGGGCTCTAATTCTTACCATGACGCACTTTAGCAGCTTAAGTACTTTAGGTTCTGAATTGATTTCATGTTTTAATTTTAGTACGAACTTTGAATTTCTAGGAGTTTTTTCTAATTTCTTGATGTGGAACACTTTCAAAGTCATAGTTTGAGTACTTACTGATTTCGTTTGTATGAAACTTATATTCATCTTTAATTGCTCTATGATATTGCATACTTTCGTTTGAGAAACTATTCCACATTCTAGGGATAAGTACTTTGGGAAGACCTTGTACCAACTTTAGACTGCCTTCCGCAAAGGTTAATGATCGACTGAGACTGAAAGGGGTGAAGAGAACCTGGATGCCATTCATTTGGAGACAGTTACCGAAATCCTCTTTTATCTTGTGGCTTGTGTATGTTCCAGAACAGGCTGGCTACCCTGGACAAGTTGGAGTATTTGAATTTTGACACTTGAAAATAAATGTTTCCTCTGTCACTATGAGCCCGGATCTTTACCCCATCTTTTCTTTGCTTGCCCATTTTCTGCAGGTTTATAGATTGAAATTCGTTAATGGTCTGCTGAGACTGAAAGGGGTGTAGAGAACTTGGATGTCTTTCATTTGGAGCAGTTTATCCCACCGAAATTTTCTTTTATCTTGTGGCTTGTGTTCCAGAACAGGCTGGCTACCCTGGACAACTTGGAGTATTTGAATCTTGAAATAAATGTTTCCTCTGTCACTGCGAGCCCGAATCTGTAACCTATCTTTTTTGCTTGCTCATTTTTGCGTGTTTATAGATTGAAATTCGTAAATGGCTGGGTATTTGGAAGGAGATGAACAAAATATATATCTCGATAAAGTGGATCAAAAAAGAACTGGAGGGGTTCGTATTCGAAATAAGGCAATTTGTATTATCTTTTGTGCTGCCACTTATAAAATCTGGAGAATAAGGAATTCTACTTACATTAATCATGTGATTTTCCAACCCGAAGGTGTGCTTTCTAAAATCAGTCACAATGTATAGAATTATGTTCAGCTTGCGTCCTACAAGTGTACTTGATTTTTAGTGTCTTGTGTGATTGTATTTTTGTTTTGGTTACTAGCTGTTTACACCTAGCTGTTGGATTTGGGAGATTGGCACTTTCCAGGGAGGTTATGTGCGTTTGTTTTCTCATAAAGGGCGGTCCTTTGTATTTTGTTGGTTACTGGTTGCGGGTAAAACAAAATACTTGCTGCCCATTTTGAAAGAGTTACTCATTTTCATTTCGCCGCTACTTACAACTAACAAGTACTGATTTCAAGTACATGTTTAGTGATTTATATCTTATACTCCGTGTGAACTTGATGCAGCTGAACTCAAGGAATAGTATGGACATCACATGTTTGTGTGTGCAGGGATTAGAAGCAGTAGTTAGTTGTGTACATGATGATGATTATGGCTGTGAGAAGCGAACAAGAACGTTCATTTTGGACTATCTAGATGACGATGGACAAAAAGGCCACCCTCGTGTCCACGCTCCAATTGCATCTGACCCTCTTTTTAGAGACATCGCAACTGCACCTTTCTAATTTGATCGTTCTTCATATGAATACGAGTATACATAGTATATAGAAAGTACTTCGTAGTAGCAAATAGGTAAGGCACTGATGTAAACTGTTTGTCATTTGGACACTGCCAGAATCGAAGCAGACATAACTTGGAACTGAACTAGTCAGTCGATATCAAACCTAAAGTAGGACCAGACAAAACTAATTTGTTAGTGAGCTTTATGTTCACAGGTAGGAGAATTCACAACCGATTCAAATTTTTATATTCAATTCTTGCAATGTGACTATGATTCTATACTCCAAGTCGCGAAAACCATTGGTTAGAATTCACAAAGCAAGAAAAGACAATCATAATGTTTATGATTACATTCAGTCACCCGAAGAAACATGCAAATTATTTGACAACCTATACACCATGGAGTGAGCTATTATAAACACAGCAAAAAAGTCGATAATTATGCATTAGAAATCAACTTCATCATCTAATACATCGCCAAACTTGTCAATAATAGTAGATGAATAAATAAAAAGATTTAGCACATCCACCGTCAATCAATTGTTACCATCATCAGAGAGTAAAGAAAACAGATGTGGATGTGCAGTGCGCTATAGAGATGAATAACACATCTGGCTTAATGTGCCTTGGTTCTACACATCCAGAAATGTTTAATGAGGGTATGTGCAGTGAGCTGCATTTTAAGGCCTTCTCAGCAGTCTAACACTCTGTTAACTAGCGCCTTTTAGATGTATATATATTCCTCTTTAGGGAGATCACTGTTTTGGGCTGAAGCTATATGAAGGAAAACTGCAGCCAGGAAAGTTGCTTTCGTCAATGAAAGAGTTGTATGACGGAAAATAATCTGTGAGCATTTCACTCTGAGTAGTATCATCATAATTTTGTGACATGAACAATGGCTTCATCAGATCATCTAGCTCCATATAGTTAGCATTCATCAGGGGGGGTCTTAGGACGTGGCAGACTATGATTACTGGTGCCCTCCGGTGCTGAGAAATTATTATGAGGATACCCACCACCAGCTGGGGTACAAAATCGAGGGAAACAAATGCTCTCTTCTTCACAGACATTCAAGCCTCCTAATAGGCTATTATACGTATCAAAAGAAATATCAGAGAGATCCAGCCCACCCGCAGTACCATCCTGCAGAGGCATTGTGGTGTTTGCAGGATGCTCAACAGGTGCTGCTGCTGCCCAACTTCCAGAGATATTCATTATGCTCTCATCCAATCCTGCAAACAAGTCATCAAACTTCCCGTATCTATCACACATACTCCCTCCGTCCCCTTTTAAATGTCCCGGAAGAGGGTGACACGAGTTTTAAGAAAAGTGATTTTGTGTGGTTGATAGTAATTGATAAAGTAAGAATAAAGTAAGAATGATTTTGAGCCACACAAACTTTACCAAAAAGGGTATGAGACAATTAAATAGGGACATCCCAATATAGTAAAATGGGACATTTAAAAGGGGACGGAGGGAGTATCTTCTATCACATTGCATTGTTCTATCCCAGCACCTCTTGCTTGCTCCATACCATTAAAATTCTGTAGACAGCAGGATGACAGAAGATATATAATCAATATTTGATGAAATACTTGCCACAAAAAACAAACACACATCAAACTTCTTAGCACAACAATCATAAAATGGTTTAAACACAAACTTAACCTTTCTTAGGTCAATAGTACATCCCACTTCATATCAATAGATTCCAAAAGATGCTCTGCTTAGTAGGAGAAATAAAAACACACGTGCAATGCTATGACCCAAAGGTAGATAGTTTTGCTTTTTTCTAGACCACTGCTTTTGGTTTAGCTATACTACTTTTTGCTAACCCTAGTGTTGTGTTCAAATAAAGGACTACTAAGTGTCAAAGCTCCATGCAATTAGTGTATTACATATATATATATATATATATATATATATATATATATACACACACACACACACACACACACATATATATACACAAATGTTCATGTCCGGAATTCTGGACAGGAACCGCCGTCCGGATGGCGGAGTTTGGCCGCCTTCCCGGTGGTATTTTTTGATGAAATTTTTATGGCATGTTCCCCATCAAGTCTAGTTTATCCACAAAACAATTCAGCCAAAAAATCAATCAGGAAGGTTGTCAAATGATTTTTGCAAGTTAACTGGTCCGGAAAATACATATTCCGGACCAGTTAACTTGCAAAAATCATTTGACGACTTTCCCGAATGCGTTTTTGGCTGAAATTTTTTGTGGATAAACTAGACTTGATGCAAAACATGTCATAAAAATTTCATCGAAAAATCCCACTCGGAAGGCGGCCTAACGCCGCCGTCCGGACGGCGGTTCCGGTCAGGAATTCCTGACCGGAAGAGTACTAATATAAATATAAATCATACTTAGTATTAAAAAAGAGAGCAATCTGAAGCATAGTTGAGATGATGAAGTGGATGGGACAATGAGAGACCAAAATTTGATATCTGAAGCAGTTGTGTATAATTTTGTACTTATACATACAGTTGTGGCATAGCATATCAACATACATGTCCCATCCATCTTAAATTAAAGTCTTCATTAATCACCAGCTCTTGTAAATCACCGAAGTTGAATGAAAAACTTCGATACAAACTATATTTTGATCTCAATCTAATATAGCTTTTTAATATTCAGCGACACTTTGCTTTCAAAAAAAAATATTCGGTCACACTTTGGTATAAAAGTAAGTTTTACAAGGTGACTGGTTATTTTAACTTGGGGTGGGCACTTGTCTTGAATGCTTTTCAAACACTCATCTGACTACTTCTTTGGAACACTTCTTGTAATACTTTCAATACTATAGCATTTGTCTCAAACATTCATAAAAAATCACAAAAAAAAACAAATTTTATGACATATCTGAGGTTCAATAGCACAAGAAAGCTGATTTAGTGACAAACAACCAACCTCATTATTGTTGATCACAGTAGGTACCAAGCCAGTATCTTCTAGAAAAGCATTATGATGTTGCACTTCATTGGTACTAATTAAGTTCAGCCAGTGATAAGCCATGTTCAGCGTATGGTGGAGTCAGTTTGACCATGCTAAATTTAGAAGTACAGTCTAGCTATACATACTTCTAAATTTAAAATGAAGTAATTCAGTTTAATTCGTACAATGGTGTAATCGCACAATGGAGGTTGAGACCGCATTGTTCCGATTGTAATCTGGAATTGTTCTTCGTTTTAATTCGTAGTGCCTTAATTGTGCGATTGTTTTTAATTCTCAATTTCGTTGTTATTCTGCTTTCTAACTTCACCACGAAAGGTATTTTCCAAACACGGACTTCTTAAATGCTAAATTGGGGAATAATCCTTCTTTTGTATGGAGGAGTTTTTTTGAGACTCAAGATATTTTGAGAAATAATTCTCGTAGGCGAGTGGGACATGGCAGAGATGTGCAGGTTTGGGCAGACGTCTCGCTTCCGAGACAGGGAACGGGGCGGATCCAGTCAGCTAAACCCCCCGGAGTCCGAGATATGAATGTGGCAGCTTTGAGAGACCATATGTCACGCCCCATACCGCAATCCAAGCGCGTGTACAACCGCCGTATAATCAAGTGACGTCGCGCGCGAGTCAACCTCACTTAATTACACAAGGCGTTCGAGAAAATAATTCATCCATACTCAGTAGTAAACATACATAACAACACCACATTTAAACCAATGAATAGCGGAAATATTCAACGGTAAGTCATAAGCCACAACCGGCCAACAACATGGGCATGCAAGCCCCAAAAATAGTTTATAGTAAAGTCAAATATCCATGAGCATGTGTTCAGCAGTTTGAAAGAAAATAGGGAAGCACGAACCACGTCTTCTTGAAGTTGATATCACCCGTGAGAAGGTGCAGGTAGCAAGCCTTAGCTTCAACCTGAAAATGGTGGGCCCCCCCGAAGGGGTCAGTACAAGTACCGAGCGAGTAGCAGGCTAAATATAGAATAACTAGCGTTTCAAGTATAAGACCCAAACACGGGGTGATGGTACTTATGTAAATAGTCTTTTCCCCCAAGTTAAGAAATACTTACTAGCATGTATACACTTGGAAAATACCCGATCCGCAGATCACTGTTTTTTATTTGGAAAATAGTAATAGTCAATATTCTTTACTAAAAACCCCAACCCACCCATATACCTATGAGTGTATAGGACTCCTCCTTATCCCTATTTCAATATCATAATCTATGAGTTTTGAGGATCATAATCCCTGGGTACTCCACCAATTTATATTTGAGTGTTAAGGACTTTTAGTCCTAGGGTCCTCCACCAAGTTTTTGAGTGTTAAGGACTTTTAAGTCCTAGGGTCCTCCACCAAGTTTGAGTGTTAAGGACTTTTAAGTCCTAGGGTCCTCCACCAAGTTTTGAGTGTTAAGTACTTTTAAGTACTAGAGTCCTCCACCAAGTTTTGAGTGTTAAGTACTTTTAAGTACTAGGGTCCTCCACCAAGTTTTGAGTGTTAAGTACTTTTAAGTGCTAGGGTCCTCCACCAAGTTTTGAGTGTTAAGTACTTTTAAGTACTAGGGTCCTCCACCAAGTTTGAGTGTTAAGGACTTTAAGTCCTAGGGTCCTCCACCAAGTTTTGAGTGTTAAGTACTTTTAAGTACTAGGGTCCTCCACCAAGTTTGAGTGTTAAGTACTTTTAAGTACTAGGGTCTTCCACCAAGTTTGAGTGTTAAGTACTTTTAAGTACTAGGGTCCTCCACCAAAATATTTCCCTATGATCAACCTCCTATCAACCTAGATAGAGTCTATATCATACTTAGTCATTCATAACTAATTCAATACATAAAGGTTATGTATCACAATCCATGCAAAGCCATGCAATTATATAAATGTATAATTAACTAATATCAACCGATATTAATTAACCCATTATCCATCGGTCAACGTTGTCGTTGACCGCGATTTCAAGTCTTACACTTATTAACTTAATCATCATATAATTAAGTTAAAAATATTCATTTGTGCTTCTTTTACACTTCAAGTCGTTGACCGCCATTTCAAGTCTTACACTTATTACCTTTTATATAATTTCTCATATCACATTCCATGTATAACAATTAACTCCTTTCATGTAACTTAACCCTATTGAGTAATCACATGTTTAAATATCTTTTAAACATTATTATGAACACATATAACATTTATTTAGGTAATCTTATAAATAACCCAAAAGTTATAAGATATTAAGCCGTCCACTCACCTTGAACTAGCGTTATGAAGTTCTACCCCTCTTGGTTGAACTCCGGTGAAACTCCGGCGACTTTTGGTCAACTCCGGCGACTTTTGGTCAACTCCGGCGACTTTTCCAACTTTGTGAAATCACTTGAAATACCCTTTACAAGTGCCTAAAAAGGTTTTATAATCATAAAACCCATATTAATACTAATAACCTCAAAAAGGTCATTTTCCGGTGAACCGGTTGTTTTGGCTCCTAAGTCCGTACTTGGACATAGAACCATCTTCCAACCCATAAATCCACCCTTATAGCATGTGGAACCATACTAAGGGTCCTTCATATGATATATACCTCATATGGTAGAAGAAAATTAAAGGAAAAGTTATAATAAGGTCATTACCTTAATTAATCACACTTTTCCCAACGTTTTTCTTCTTTAATCTTCCTCCTTGGACTACTTTAGGTTGAGCTCGAATTTTTAGCTATGGGGATGGTTTGCGGAGCTCTTTCCTTCCTCCTTTTGCTTGGTTGGTCGAGCATTATAGATGAAAGAGGGTGGAGAGGTGGTTTTTGTCTCCTTTAGCCAATGAGTGGATGGAAAGGGGTCCATTAGCTTTCAACCATGTCCCCCCATCCTATCATCCATCCTTCATGTGTCCTTATGGATCTAATTAGTCAACTCTTGCACACAAAAACTTGGGGTGGCCCCCACTCATGTGGGAGGTCATCCCTTTGTGTCCCGGTGTGTACACTCGGTCCCGAAAGTTGTATTTTTCGGACTGTTTTAATCATATTTTATTTTATCGGGTAAAATAAAATATATTGTGTGCTCTTACTCATTATGACATTTATAATGAATATACATTCCTCATCTTTAATTTATAAGCCTCCGAAATTCAGTTCGGGCTGTTATCTGTTAAATTACCAGTACCGGTAATTTGGGTCTCTTTTGACCAATCGGTCAACTCTGGGCCTTTCCATGGCCCAAATGAAATATCCACCACTATATATTTATTATCTAGACCAATAATAAAAATTTACAACTTTGTAAATTCATAAATCATTGCACAAGGTTTATTACATCATTTACTTAAAGGTAAATATATTTGGGGACGGTGTTACACCATACAGCCATACAGGGAAGAATTGGAATAGAGAGAGGATTTGCTCTATTTTTTAGGCGGTGGATAGAGATCTAATTTTAAGCATACCGATTATCAAAGTGGATAGAGAAGATGGTCATTGGTGGACAGGGGAGAAAAATGGGAATTTTTCTGTTAAAAGTTGCTACAGGAAATTAGTCAGTACAGTCCCGTCTGGAGAAGCAAACGGTTGGGCTAACTTGTGGGCACTTGAGGTATCCCCTAAATTTAAATACTTTATTTGGCAGGTACTTGATGGAACACTCCCTACAGTGGACAATCTAAGGAAGAGAGGCGTGCAGATTAGCGAAAATTATCACCTTTGCAATGGGGGGCCCGAAAACCTCGAACATACTTTCTGGGAGTGCAGTTATGCACAGGAGGTTTGGCAGCAAGCGGGAGTTATTTGGGCTAGTGGAGTGTCTTGCGTGCAGGATTGGAATAAACATCACCTCATAAATGCTAATAAAGATAAAAAAGGAAAGTTTGTGGCTCTGCTTTGGAGTATATGGAAGCGGCGTAATGCTTTTATTTGGAAGAATGCGTGGCAAAGCTCGGCAGGAGTCATCAGTAGCGCATTGAGAATGATAAATAATTGGAAGGAGGCTCAAAGGTCAGGGGACAAGCCAAAGAAAAAGACTGACAGTGAGCAGACGCAGGTATGGCGAAGACCGGGGAGGGGTTTTATCAAAATTAATGTTGATGCTGCTATTGACCCAAGTGGTGATAAAAGGGCCTAGGGTTGGGTGGCGAGGACCGAACAGGGGGATTTCGTCAGGGCGGGGGGAGTATCCACCAAAGCAGGATGGTCCCCGGCGGAAACAGAAGCGATCGATTGGGCTGAGGGATGCTATTCAGGAGGCGAGCACAACTGGCTGGCAGAAAGTGGATTTTGAGACATATGCACTCTCAATTGTTCAGGGCATTCAACAAAAGGGAGGTTCTTCTTATCTGGATCTGATTTTGGATGATATTAGAGAAATTTTGACAACAAAGAATACTTATATATAGTGTTTCTTTCTGTAGACGATCTGCGAATCGTGTAGCTCATGCACTCGCTAGAGCACATGTTATTCTCTCAGATCATAGGAGTACTTTTGATATAGCTCCAGATTGTATTCTAAGCCAACTGGCAAACGATTTCATTAATTAATAAAACAAGCTATCAGTTGATGATTAAAAAAACTTCACCACGAAGTTATTCTTCGACTATGTCAGCCGCTGGAGCCTTTTTCCGATTTCGACTTTGTCGAAGATCGGCTTTGCTATCCCTTGGTCGCTGGTGCTCGGCTGGAGTCCAGGTCAGACTCGGAGGGCGAAGATCGATGGAGCCATGGAGGAGGGCGGATTTGATGTCATGGCTCGAGTAGATTGGCATTGTGGTCAAGATTCGAGGATGCGGTGTTGCTGTCGGCGTTGGAGAAGATCGGCGCCGCCTATCCGTTTATTCTGGTCGCACGGAGCATGGATAAGTTTGGTTATGCAGGGACGGAGGATTGATGCATGGTCTTTGGCCGCCAAAGGTCATGGAGGATCAATTAGCATGGTACCGGTGGTACGACCTCCTCCTGAAACACCACCATGGGATGTACGAGGTGCTAGAGTTCATGAAAGTTATTCTTGTAGTTTTTATCTGTTTGTTATTTGTTTTTTTTGTGTCCACTTTTGTTGTTGGTTTTGACAATTTGTTTGAGTTTTTTGTCTCTCTTTATCTCATTGAGTTTGGTTGGATCTATGGGAACAAGTTTGGCTGTGTCAAACCCATTATATGGTTAGCGATTCGTGTTGCTCTCTCAGGAGTGACCGTCTCAAAGTCTCATCATAGGGTTACAGACTTACAGTCGTAGTTGTTGGAGTTTCAGTTGGTGTCAGTTTTATTTTCCCTTTGGTTGATGTAATGATCCTGAATTCTTTTTTTTTTTTTTTGATCGTAATGATCCTGAATTCTTTGATATGAATAGAAGTCTATGATAAAAAAACATAAATTAAGTATACTCAGTTATTGATATGACGCCTGATTTGCTCTTATTTCGAATGATTTCTCAGTTCACAAATTTCCCAAAAAGTTGAATAATTACTCATAATATATACACCAGTCATAAGCTTTGTAGTTTGTACGTACTACGTATATGTTTCTTCAAGTAACGTGTCGTAACAAAAAATATCATTTATACCAAGTCATGTTTACCCAATTTTATACTCCCTCCGTCCCAGGGAGAAGTTCCCACTTTCCTTTTTTGGTAGTCCCAACAAAAAGTTCTCATTTCCCTAAATGGAAAGTTATCCTACATCAAAACAGTGTCAAACAGTGCAAAACAGTGCCAAACAGTGTCAAAACACTGCCAAACAGTGTCAAAACAGTGCCAAACAGTAAAATTTACCCCTCAGTAACTTTATTTTCTTAATATGTGTGAAAGTCAACCCGAGAACTTCTCCCTGGGACGGAGGGAGTACCAAACAAAGAGAACACATTCATTCTGGTACATTTTTTTGTGTGACGGATTAACAAGTCAGGTTTCTTCATGTACTTATAATGCACATAATTGATCCATGTAAATTTTTAATGGTCAGTACATGTTTGAGCAACCTAATTTTAATAAGTTAATTGGTCTATTCTGACAAAACCTTTAGAGCCCGTTTGGTAGCACGAAAATCGGCTGTTTGGCTGATTCTGCTGAAATTTATGAAGTTCTGGGTGAAGTGGCTACATTGGCTGATTGCAGTGATTTAATAATAAATTATTTTTAAAATGTATTTTATAAATAAAATAAAAATAAAATTATATGTAAAATAGCTAAAATGGTCATCTACAGTAACTTCAGCCAATACAGCCATAAGAGTAACTCTAACCTTACTTTTTTCTGCTTATAACACAATTCAGCGCGTGAAAGCAAAAGTTACGTGTTTGATGAAAAAATTGGTTGATAAGCCTGATAAGCCGAAAAACAGTGTTGTCAAACGGCCCCTTAATTTAATGCTATTGTAGCATTTGTCTTTGATTATCTCTATTCAGCTCCAAGTTACAAAAATCAATGTTTGATGAACTAAAGTTAACTATGATGAAAATAAAGTAGGAAATATTCGAGCTAACTATCAAGAACATATTATATAGGAAAAATTGAAAATAATAATCCCAACTATTGCTGGTCCGCTGAAAATAATCCCAACTATTGATTATTTTTGTATAATCCCAACTATATAGACTATCCGCCAATAATGGTCCATGACCATATATTACCTCTATAAAAAGTGAATTTTAAATAGAAATTAAGCGTAAAAATTAAAAGTTGAGATTATTTATAGGGATTACTTGTTATATCTCATATCATCCACTTTAGAAACCACAAGAATTTATTCATAGGGACCATTATTGGCGGAAGGTCCCTAAAGTTGGGATTATTCTGTAATAATCAATAGTTGAGATTATTATGAGCGGACCGCCAATAATTGAGATTATTACTATCAAATTTTCCTATTATATACGTAGTAGTCTATATTACGGTAGTTTCCAGATTTCCCCTCTTGTGTGATAAAGTTATTAAATTATGTCAACCATGAAGAAAATAAATGACTAAATGGTCCAACTAAGTGAGCTAACCAGCTGGCCCAAAGTATATATAAAAATAATTTCCAAAATAATTTAACTCTTGTAAGAGAACACGCGTTCTATCCCAAATAATGCCCACTAAATATGTTCCTTGACTATGACTAAAAAAGTAGTGCTATAGAAAGTTCAAAACTATAATCCTCGCCTTCTCTTCCCGGAGACTTTCCCCTCTCCCTCCAAAAATGAGACTCGCTTTAGATTTTCTCAGCCATCACTTCCCGGCGACGCTCCTTCTCCTCCTTCTCCTGTCTTGGCCGGGAAATGCCCTATTCGCCGAGAAGTGCCCCAACTGCGGCGGCACTCCGGTCCCTTACCCACTCAGCACCGGCCCCAATTGCGGTGATCAGCTCTACAAGATCCGTTGCAATAGCGGCGGGCTGTTTTTCAATACGCTCAACAACTCTTATAAGATTTCATCCATCAAACCGGAGTCCCAACGGCTGACGATCGAGCCGTCGGCGTTCTTACCGGACACCTGCGTTACAGAGGATATCTCAACTGGCGGTATACTCCTCAATTCCTCCCTTCCCTTCAATATCACTAGCAGCAACACCGTTCTGTTCCTCAATTGTACCAAAGCGCTGCTCAACTCCCCGTTGAACTGCTCCTCCAGCAGCCTCTGCCACACTTATATCAATGGAAGCCTAACCGCCGGAAACGCCATCGGCGCGTGCTCCGGCGCACCAATTTGTTGTACCTTTAGAGCTGGCGGGTCGTCAACGGCCGACAAGATTCGGGTTAGGATGACGGGTTGTCGTGCATACCGAGTCTTTGTGAACCTGGATGGGACTTTGCCCGTCCGCAAGTGGGCCAAACCCGCGGTTGAATTGGAGTGGGCTTTGCCGTCGGAGCCTTTATGTAGCTCCCGATCGGATTGTAATTCTGATTCTACATGTCAACCGGACGTAAATTCCGGTAGCTCAGTCAGCAGATGTTTCTGCCACGCAGGACGACACTGGGACCCGACGCTTGGATCATGTGCTCTCGGTAAGTTTTATCATTTCTATAATGATTTGTTAAACTTTGACTAATAATATATTTACATACATAAGTTTGGTGCCATGAAAATGTTCTTTAATTTGTTAAAAATATTACACCCTCTAATCATGAATAAATTTCATCGTTTTACTTTACGGTTTTAAGAAATTAAAATTTTTGTTTTTTACTTTTCCAAAATTCCAAAATACTCATACAAAAAGTAGATAAAGTATAGCGGGAGAGATGGTGAGTGTCTCATAATCTCGTCATACCGCTACAAAAAGTAGATGAAGTGTAGAGGAGAAGATAGTAAGTGTAAAGTAGATAATAAAGTAAGGGTATAATGGTAACTTTATATTAAAAACTTGCAAAAAAAATAGAAGTGTGAAGTTTATTTTGGACCTATCCAAAAATGAAAGTGTGAAATTTATTTTGGATCGTAGGGAGTATTATAGAAGTAAAAAAGTTATAAATCTTTCAAAAATATTAGTCTAAATTATTGATCAAAGTTTTTCTCTTTTTACTACTCCCTCCGTCCCGTTACTTTGACCCTCACACATTTTTAGGAATTAAATTTGACTTTATTGTCTAGACACTGTTTAGACACTGTTTGACACTGTTTTGCACTGTTTGACACTGTTTTGATGTAGAGAAACTTTCCATTTAGGGAAATGAGAAGATAATTTTGGGACGTCTCAAAAAGGAAAGCAGAAAGTTAATAGCGGGAGGAGGTAGTATAAAAGACAAAAATGACTAACTAAATATAGATGGAGTACTATCATAGATTCATAGGTTGGTATTCAAGTGTTCAACACCTTCAATTAACAAAGTCAAATACAACTTGACAAACTTTGGTAGAACGATGTAGTTCAAATATTCAAATATTATACGGAGCACATTAATAAATGGGTGAGTGCTATTCTACCGATTTTTAAAAAATGAGAGTTGACTTCTCATGCATTTGATTTGATTGAGCTAAGTCATCATTTCAATACTTATTTATAATTAAATTGTTCAAGTGCAATATTTTAATTGATCCACATATACAAAGTGCTACTTCAGTCCAATTTGATGTTATCAGTTTTATTCATGGTCAACACAAATCATTATTATTCTCTTATTATATACTCCATCCGTCCCGCTAGGATTGTCCTCTTTTACCTTTTCGGGAAGTCCCACTAAGATTGTCCCATACCAAATTTGGGAAAGTTTGTGTGACTCTAAATCATTCCTACTTTATTCTTACTTTATCAAGTTAATATCAACCACACAAACCACTTTTCTTAATAACTGTGTCACCTTCTCATGTCCCAATCTTAATGGGACGGAGGTAGTATATCAAATTTTTATCAATTTTTGTTCCTGGTTTTTGCGACGATTTTATAAAGCTTTTAAGGTAGTTTCTAAATATGTAATTTAAAATAAAATAATTTGAGTGCAAACAAGAATCCGTTTGCTTTATTATTGATCAAACATCGTAAAATGTAACGGGACCATCAAATTGGGATGAAGCCCGGAGATAGTACGTTAAAATGCAACGGTATCATAAAATTTGTAATAAAAATCTATAGATAAATAAAACGGGCAAGTAACGTGACACTTAAAAAGTAACAATTAAAAAGAATATAATAAGTATAACAAAATACAATAATATTATTAGGATGTGATATATGTTGTTAATTAGAGTATACTTCGCAAATAATACTACCTACTCCGTATATAACATAAGAGAATTGGTTTAGAACATGCAAAATAACACAAATGAGCATCATTAGCAATTATAAGACATACGGAGAATATCTAACTTTCTATCCAATTTGATACTCTTATTTTTATCCAGATGTTTGCAAGGATGGATGCGGAAATGACAAAACTGCCCTCATAGCAGGTATGTATGCACCTAGTGTATGTTACATATTCAGTCAATCAGTCCCATACTCCCATTTAGTTACATCGCCTAGACGCCTACTGGTTATGCCCTGGATTTCGAGTTTTCGACAATTGAGCGCCCACATAAAATAGGAAATTGAATGCCCCAACATGGCAGAAGGGATGGAAGGGATGAACAAAATTGTAGTCCATAAAAAGTCACTACAAAAAAATTACGAGATTGACACAAATTTGGCACGGATTAATCGATGATTTCGTACCAAATAGCTCGTTCCAAACTGTTTTTGGCTTGGATTTGGTATATCTCTGTCAAAATCCCTGCCAATTTTGGAAATTATGCCCTTGAGCAAGCAGCATTCCAAGCCACTGATGTTTGTACGTTTTATGGGGAAAAGAAGGAAGGAAGGAAGGAAAACTCCGCTAATATCGCGTTTTTTGTAGTGAGTGCCAGAACGCATTAACGCCTTGGAAATAAGTAGCACTTTATGAGTCGCGATGTAATTTAGTGTACTTGATTTACTCTCTCCGCCTCAATAATAAATTGAGGTATCAAACTTATACTATGTAATATTCTTTCTCTTAGGAGTTAGGAATAGTAATCGGATTACATTTCATATATGATGAAAATTTCTGAGATACGAACTAAATTTAGTCATATTGATCAAACTATTAATCATTGGTCACCTACAATGTACTTGCAGGATTAACATCAGGGTTGGGTGTGACATTGGTTGCTGCACTAGTTGGATTTTTTGTGTACAAACGTTACCAGCGCATTAAGGAAGCTCGTGACCGTCTTACCCGAGAACGTGAAGCCATACTTAACTCCGGTGGTGTAAAATCGGCAAAGCTCTTCAATGGGAAGGAAATCAAGCGAGCGACAAGCAACTTTTCCAAAGAGCGACTTCTCGGCGTGGGCGGGTACGGCGAAGTCTACAAGGGAATCCTAGATGATGGGACAGTGGTCGCCGTTAAATGCGCGAAGCTGGGCAACGCTAAAGGAACGGACCAAGTTCTGAATGAGGTGAGGATATTGTGTCAAGTGAACCACAAGAACCTAGTGCGCCTTCTCGGCTGTTGCGTTGAGCTGGAGCAGCCCTTGTTGGTGTATGAGTACATCCCAAATGGTACTCTCCTTGATCATTTCCGCGAGGGAAAGGGTAACCACGAGTGCCTCACATGGACCCACCGCCTAAAAATTGCTCGGGACACCGCTGAGGCACTCGCTTACCTCCACTTCTCTGCATCTCCCCCCATCTATCACCGAGATGTCAAGTCCAGTAACATTCTCTTGGATGAAAAGCTCAATGCCAAGGTAATTAGCTTTTCATGCTCATAAATTATACTAGTATTCCCTTAGTCCCATAAATAAATTCAATGTTTGACTTTTTTTAGTCAACATGTTTGACTTTCACGGTTAAATAATTCAAAAAAACAATATAACCCAAAATGTTTTGAATTATATTATTTATCTTAATATCTATTGAAATTTTAATTTATTATAGATTTTATAAGTGTAAAACTCTTAGATGTTAATGGTCAAACACTGATTTCAAGGGTTGCTATAGTCAAAGTGTGAATTTATATAATTGTGAGAAGGAGGTAATGTTCACTTAAAATGTACATATTTATCTCAGTTTATTACCATAATCAACAACACTTTTTATTAAACAATAGAGAAAAAGTTGAGCACACCATAGATAGTATTAATATTTTTTTGGGTTTCAAGTATTTCATACTTTTGTTTTTTTTAATTACATTAACAAACCAAATATGACCAAACTTGATAAGTGCCAATATCACAGTTTAAACACACACACACTACTACTACTACTACTAAAAAGGATTTCCAAATAATGAAGAAGATGTAGTATATTGTATTACTCGTATTGTAAAAGTATGTCTATCTCAAATTAGCAAACAGTCATTATATTATATTTTCGTTGGGGTATTACTAAAATAAAAACTATATAATTAATGGAAAAATACAATCATGGTCACAACCTACTTACCTAGAAACTCTCCAGACTCACCATGAACACAACACTTCCAATAAAAATGTACTTTCATTGTTGAAACTCACATTGTTGCAATTTATTTTATTTTATTTTATTTTATTTATAATCATAAACTACTTTTAATTATTTTTAATTGCTTAACTACTCTTCACCATTTATGTAAAAAAAATTGTGGAGTATGTTTCATCTTGGCTTACTAAACTCTCTATCATCAAAAAATGATTATTGTCATTCAAATGTCAGAAACATGTGATGTTAAAGAACTTAATATATAAGTTAATTTTTCTTGGGGTGGATGAAAAGGATGGTTTTGGTTTATTTTTTGACATTATCTTCATTCGATTATTTAGACGTATGCGTATATTGTTAATTAGAGTATATTACCTTAACTTCTATAATTCTATCATTTCTTAATTATAATTGGATGTCATTAATTAGTTCAAATGTATTTATTCCTCCTCGTTTGTAGGCTTCTAACAATATAATTTCTTAATTAGAATTCATATATTAACCTTCAATTCACTAAATATTTTCAGGTATCTGATTTCGGCCTATCGCGTTTGGCTCATACAGACATGAGTCATATATCCACATGTGCTCAAGGCACTTTAGGATATCTTGATCCGGAATACTATAGGAACTATCAACTCACCGATAAGAGTGACGTTTATAGTTTTGGAGTTGTCTTACTAGAGCTCTTGACATCAGAGAAAGCTATAGATTTTACCAGGGATCCAGACGATGTGAACTTGGCAGTTTATATTCAACGGTTAGTTGAGGAGGAGAAAATATTGGAAGGTGTGGATCCCTTGTTGAAAGAAGGGGTAAGTAACTTGGAGTTGGAGACCATGAAGGCACTCGGGTTTCTGGCCATGGGCTGTTTGGAGGCTAGGAGACAAAACAGACCTTCCATGAAAGAAGTTGTGGAGGAGATTGAGTATATAATTAGCGTGTCTACTGATAAGGATGAGAATTAATAAGGACAAGAGAATATAAATATGTTTACTTTGATTTCCCAAGTGTTGGTGTAATGGTGTTTCTTTGTGTAATGTTGAGTAAATATTTTTATGGACCAAAATGTACAATCAACTGTTAAATTTGTATATGTGAGTAGTGAGTTACATAGTGCGCCCCCGATATTATTGAATGCACATTATTTGAACTAAATTACTCCCTCCGTCCCATTGGACTTTGTCAATTTTTGCTTTTTGGTTGTCCCAAAAAACTTTGTCATTTTCCTATTAAAGTAACTAATTTGTGGTTTTGCACATTTCTCTCTGCTCTGCACAAATCTTAATAACACAGTTTTTATTATTCTTATTTCTCACCTACTTTGCACTTAGTAAAATCCACCGGGACGGGGCTAGTATATTTTTAAATATCTTTTCCTTAAAATCTTAATCATTCATTTGACAACCATATTGATCATGAGGATTGTTCTACTATTATTTGTGATGGGTTCAATGATAACTACATTTGCATCGTCTACAATGTTAATCAATGTGATCTTTTGTTACACTAGAAACTCTTCACAAATCACAATATATTCTTCCTTTTCTAAATGCATGCGAAAAACAATGTCAAACTACGTTTGGGGCATTTGCGGTGCACAAAACAGGTCTTTTTTAGGCTTTGTTTGCAACCACTTGTGCTTAAATAAAAGCATTTTTGGGGAAAAAGTGATTAGTAGTAAAAGTTGGTAGTGTTTGGTAAAATAAGTGCTTTTTGTGTAATAGAAAAAGTAAAAAGTAGATTCTACACGAAAATGGAGGAAGTAAAAGTTGTTAGTGTTTGGAAAAATAAGTGCTTTTTTTTTAAAAAAAAAAATAGCCAAAATCAATTGGTTGCAAACAAGCCCTTAGTTTCCTAGTAAATAGAAGCAATTTCTTCATTACAAATAATTAACTTGTTACCTCTCCGAAGGAATCTTAACAAAAACTAGTGCTATAAAAAGGGCGACAGTAAAATAATGAGTATGTAAGAAATAGGAATAAAAAGAAATATTTTCTTTGTATTACTATAAGTGGCACAATAGCCTTTTCACTTATGAATAAAGTAAAATAACGTTCTAGTCTAGCTGTATAAAAATGTAATGTAGCACAAGAGAGAATAATGAGAAAGCTCGACAATACGCCTTCTAGTGAGCAGCTAGCTAATTATACTACACATTATCATATCAAAAGAGTACTAATCAATAATGATCAGTCACAATAATACTTATCATAACCGTTAGATGGATTATAAAAGAGTAAGTGAGTATAACTGTGTATGCTGTGTGTTTATGTATACAATTGATTAATTATGCTACTTGGGATACTATTCTTACTTAGTTTTTACTTTTTTATGTTCATAAAGCTAATTCGATTTGAGAGTTATTGAATTGGCGTGACTATATTTATCGTACCATTATTATCTAATTTAATTCTTTTAGTATTAATGATATTTTTTAATGAATTGAAATAATACATAATTAAGATTTAAAACGTACATCTACGTACTCAACACCCATAGGAAGACAATAGTGCAAGGCATGACTATGAGTCGCATGGGAAGAAATGGGGATAGAGGAACTTTTTTATACGAAGTACGTATATGATAGGACGGTGAAAGATTGGTTAGTGAATTCTCACTTCTTTAGTGTCATTCCTAATATAGATAGTACTAGTGATATCTAATAACTAATGATTACTTTTAGCGTAAAATACTCTCTCTTTTGGATACATCGGGAAGTAAGGGAAAAATTAAACAATCTCTTTGTATGCAAGTTAGATATGATAAATTTGTTCATATATCTGAAATACATAAACTCATTCTGGCTTCTTCCTTTGAATTTTACCGTTTAAGAGATTTGAGTGAAATCAAACATATACCTCTTTTTATAAGGATTCTTGCTTTAATAATACATAAAGTACCATTAATAGTTGAAATTGCCATACGTAATAAATACACAAAAACGATTGAATAAATAATTGGAATTGAATTTCATAAAAGCTCGGTACATATACGAAGTATAAAAGAAAAATCTGTTGACAGATGAATCATAAAATGAGCTGAGAGACTTGTTAGCGGGGGAAATAATATGAGTAAATTACTTAAATGAAACTAATACGTAGACAAAGTGAACAAAAGGACTACCATTGTTTTTATTTTTAAAATAAAATAGAACTCAATCACTATTAAATGACAAAATTTTACACATTTAATAGAACCAAATAATTCTTAACTGAAAATAAACATAATTAATTCTATTTGTAGAGTGTGTTGTCTGTGTATATGTTTTAGTCATATTTGAAATAATTTATTAAATAATACTCCCTCCGTTCCAAAATAATGGTCCTGTATTTTCTTTTTGAGATGTCCCAAAATAATGGTCATGTTTCTTTTTTGATAAAGAACTAAAAGTGGATTACTATTTCTAACCCTCCTTTTTAATGAGCAATAAAAGAAAAAAGATGAACAATACAATAAAGTAAGATTTTTTAGTCTTTCTACCACACTTTCATACTTTTTGTGCCCAAAAGAAACAAGACCAACAAATTGGGACGGGGTACGTACTACATAATCCATATGTATGTACTCCACATTGCATACTAAAAAGTGTGGGCTAATGTACTAAAAGAAGTGTGGGCTAAAAGTTTAGTTAGAAATTATTACCGACCCGTCATGGATAATGGCGAGCATATTTGGGCCTTTTATAGGCCCAATCTAGGCGGACCAAACTAATGATAGTGTAGTTGCGGGCAGCTGATAACGTTTTCAAACGCCAAACTTGTTTCCCTATAACTTCGTCTCTCAAAAACCCCTCACTCTAAAACCCTACGATTCAAAGCTTTCCTGTGCCAATTTTCTCATCTAAAACCAGACCTAAAATGGCACTCTTCAATGCCATCAAACGAACAGCGGTTCATGCCGCCGCAGCCGCCAGACTCATAGGAAGAACTCAAAAGTATCATAACCAGTGTTCTTCCCTTTTCTCCGCCGCCGGCGTCACCAACCGCGTTCGTGTCTCTGGAAGTTTTTTCCGCAGCGCAGTTCCCTCAGCATTTCACCACTACTCCTCGAAGGCGGATGCGGCTCTTCTCGAAGTTATTGATTCCGAAATCGAATGCGCTGCTGAGTATGAAGGGGCCGACAAGGTTACATATTGACCTCATTTCCCGACTCGTGTTTTTTTCGATTTGTATTTTCTTGACGATTGAATGGATCGATCGTTATTATACTTCTTCAATCTATAATTTCATGAATTGTATTTTTATTAATCGTTTTAGCTTCAGAGTAGTGATTTCCCAACTCTGATATGTAAATTTGATTCCTTTTTGTTTTCATTTTCGGTTCCTGTTTTTTTGTTTGGCCTATTATTCAGCAGCTGCTTTATGCGTTCAAGTTGTAATTTAACTTTTCATTCAGGTGTCTGAATTTTAAGTACTACTTAGCAAATTTGGGTATATTGATTAATTCTAGCCGCAACTATAAATTTTCCACCTAGATGGAATTTAGTCTCAATTTCATGTTTAGACTTGGGAATTGAGCTCCTGTGGAGTTTTCTAATCACATTCTTTATCATTGGTTTAGGTTGAGGATGTCCCTGCCGGGTTTCCTTTCAAAATCGAAGACAATCCTGGTTATCAGACCGTAACACTGACAAGAGAATTTCAAGACGAAGACATATCCGTAGAAGTTCACATGCCTGACTTAGTTTCTGGGGAAGAAAATCAAGATGAAGGCTCTAATGATGATGAAAAGGAGCAGGGCAATGAATCACAAATTCCTCTTGTTGTTAGGGTTTCAAAAAAGAATGGTCCTTCCCTGGAGTTCGGATGTACTGCTTTTCCCGATGAAATTTCTATAGACAGCCTATCAATCAGGGATCCTAAAAACAATGAGGATCAAATTGCGTATGAAGGGCCTGATTTCTCGTAAGTTATAAGCCAGTTATTGATTATGAATTTACATCTACCGTTTTTTACTAATTGTTGCTTACTTGTTTTAAAGTTTGTTCTTACTTGTTTTACTAATTGACTTGTTTTAAAGTTTGTTCTGACTGTTCGTAAGTTATAGCCTTATTGACTATTCTATGTTAAGAATTCACACCGATTGTTTCAAACTACTCCTTCCGTTTAATTGTAGTTAGTGAAACTTTAGAGTCTCCTTATATGGAGACTCGGCGGGCTTTTAGAGGATTTTTAGAGTTGAACGCTCTATGTCTTTATAAATATTTGAGATATTTGAGATTTTATACAACTTAATGAAATTGCATAATAGGTGATCAGATAAAATATAGTTTTCCTGTAACGAACTTAATAAGTGATCATATTTTTTTATAGTTTTCCTCTACGTTGAGTATGTTTCATAGAGACAGAGATGAATCCTTCAAAGTTATTCCCCTCCAAATGTTCAACCAAACAGACCCTTAGAGAGAGAAAATGTTTTTCCCCTATAACTGCCTCTTTACAATATTTAGATAGGCTTTCATTACTCAATTTTCACCATCCCTTCTTCATCCGTAAACTCTACTTATTGTATAGTACCTTAATCTTCAGTATGGGGCATTCTAGATTTTCTTGATTTATTATTAATGCGTTTATTCCTTTTTTAACCCGTCTCAGAGATTTGGACGAGAATCTGCAGAAAGCATTCCACAAGTACCTAGAGATCAGAGGGATCAAGCCTAGTACGACCAACTTTTTGCATGAGTACATGATTAACAAGGATGGGAGAGAGTATTTGATGTGGCTCAAGAACATCAAGAACTTCATTCAGGCTTGAAAACTTAGTTTCTATTCTATGATGGTTTCCCTACCTCTTCAGAGACTTCATGCCATGAAGTAGTAATCATTATACCATATTTTTGCATGAGATTACAATTGCTTATCTTTCTTTTGCAAGTGGGAACTGCTTTCTACTTCCTTGGTTGCAAAGTTATTATAATTTAATCATGGCCCCATTCAAGAGTCTCTTATTTCGTTCAGACTCAATTACGCCTCTATGCTAACATAGAGAGTAATTGAGCATGCATTACAGTTTTATCAGTCAAGAAGAGTGTTCTGTACCGTAAGGGTTTTTGCCACATTCACTGGAATCCAATAACAACCATTAGATTGCAAAACTTATGTCTCTTCTAACATAGTACACATTGTCATAACTCTTAATATACTCATTCCCAAGGCCAT